CGTGGTCAGCGTTGGTATTACGCCTTTATGCCAATGTCTTTGTCATTGGGTTCAAAAGCTGTGCAGTTCTATCTAGTGTCTCTATGCCTTACTGCAACGTCAGGATCTGCATCGCCCTGGCAGCGCCTGAGTGCGTCCAAATGCAGTAAGCAGGCACCAAAAGCAATCACTTGGCGTGGCTGAAGTAACCGTTGCGCAGGGACGCTGGTACCAAATTATGTGTAAGTACCGCCATGACAACACAATGCTGGATTAATTCACGCTTAGGAAGGCTGCATGTTCCTTACTCGACTCCCCGCCTCGCCCCCCTCCCCTCCCCGAGCCCGCTGGCACCTCAAGAGACCCGCGAGCACCGCAGCGCCAGCGTTCAACCCCGACCACTGACCACCGCCTGGACTGGCACACTGGCTCGCGCAGGGGCGTACATAGGAATTTGCAATAGGGGGGGGGGGGGAGGCAGAACTAAAGCATTTTCACTGAAAACTCAGGACAGCGTGCTGCAGGCACTGTTTTTTTTTGCATCGCGTAGAACATCGCGTGTGCTCGATTTTTTTAGTTTGAGTTGTGCATTTCGAGTGTTTAATTGCCAGCATGCATTCATGCACATATTAATGCATTAAATAAACCGCGCAAGGGCAGAGGGTCGCGCTCTTATTGGGTCCTCTGCATGCGCACGCCTCTGGGCTCGCGAAGCATTTCGCATGGTCTCTGCAAACAGCGGAGCTCAAAAGCCGGCGGCGGCCAGGCCAGGCCGGGGACAATAGGCCAGGTCGATGCGTGGTCCGCCCGGCCGGCGGCCGGACGGGGGGAGGCGGGGGGGGGATGGGTATCACACACTGTCAGCAACGGTCGTAAATCAGCTGCAGATAAGGCGGCCGGCCGACCCAGGTAGGTCAACACAATTCAACCGGCCGACACGCGGCCGGCGGCCATCACGGCCCCCGCCGACGGCGGCGGCGTCACGCCACGCCGCCGGCTCGGCCATCACAGGCGCGAGGGAAGACGGGACGGCCTCGAGCCGCCCGTCGACACCGGCGCAGGGCATACCCTCACACCCGCCCCGCGCGTGGCAGGAGCAGGCGGCGATCGCGCGGGTATCACTGCGGAGGGTGTGTCTGGGAGCGCGGCGCCGGGCGGCTCGATGGAGCTGCAGGATGATCGACATGTCGCGGCGTGACGCTCCAGCGGTCAAGGATGTCCCCCCCCCCCGCCCCCAGCGCCCCTCTCCGGCAGTGGACCGTGCACAGACACCCGGCAACTTCAGCCGATCGGCTGATGGCCCGGCCGGGCGCAGGAAACTTGAGATCCAAGCCGATCGAGTTGCCGCAACTTGCAATCCAGAACACTCACGCTTAAATATAGAACCGTGATATGGACCCACGGCGTGGCGGCTGGCAACGCAGCAGCCGTGAGCAGCGTCTTACAGCAGCCGTCTCGGTGGTCGTCGAATGGCTGCGGTTGGTCAGGTTTTCGTTATTTAATTTTCACGATCCAGTGAGTGCGCTTCGCATTGCTAGTCGTCGGTTTGAGCGAAAAGCGGGCAGCGGATAGGTCTTAGTATCTCTTTGCGGTGCAGCATTCCACAGCTTCGTCTCGGTTCAAGCTGGTTGCGATGAGCTTCCTAAGCTTTTCCTCTTCTGGCAGCGTTTAACACGACCGGTAGCTGTCGCATTCAACGACAGGACAGCCAAGTGTAAGTTAACTCGAAGACCACACGCCAGGCTTTATGACAAGAGGAGACGTTTGTATGAAACACGAGGCCATAACCAAACTGCAGGACGGTGGAAATGGCCACCAAATAGCAGCCAAACCGGGGAAAGCCAAGTGTACGGCCAGGCCCATCGACCAAACGCCTTGAAAGGCACAGTAATATCTACTATAAAATTCCCACTCTGGTTTTATGGGGTGAATATAACTCGTCTTTTGATCTTGGGAATACTATTTCTAACGTCAGGAAAACATGCATGATTTCTGAAGCTGTCATCGTAAAGGTGTCGGACTTGTTTTAATAGTTTTAACCATTTTGGTAGGTGCGACTCGGCTGGAATACTAACGTTTAATCATCGAGACTTACGCGGGCCGGAAATGCATGTGATGGATAACAGTGTTCGCACCATTAATCGTTTGCACTTCTAATGAACGAACATGGGCAGGCCTGGTTGGTGAGGGAGCCAATTTCAACATGCGTCAGTGGCATGGCAAAGGATTACCCAGTCACCCAGGGTGATGATGCTTGTGACGTCCGCACAGGGGCTTTATCGCGAAACTTTATGGCCGATCAGAAATTCAATCGATCCAATAAAGTTCAATCATACTTCGTCATCGGTCTTAAAACTGCGCGGCCGCTTTGAAATCCCTCTCTTTATTAACGTGCCGATAGTTTTATAGCTCACCTGTCGCAGTAATCATTGATCAAACCGCAAATCGGTGAGGGTTTAAAAAATGATGGGATATAAAGGTCAAAACGTTTCCAACATGATCCCCATGTTGGTGAGTTTTACTGACAGTTTCAATTATTGCCACGATTCCGTAGCCTCTTTTACAGAAATGAGAAAAACAGAAAGGGAGCATTCCCCTCATAATTCCCTTTATGAACTTTCCGCTAACATGCGCCCTGGGGAGGACAGTCATTTTACCCCCTCCCCCACAGAAAATTTTTACAGCATAATTTCCGAACACCAAGATGCGACCACGCCAAATTTTACATGGCAGATCTTTCGTTGCATAAAACTGAGATGAACCTGGTAAGGTCACTGACTTATGGCAAGTTAAAATCAGGACGTGGCTGTCAGCGGAGGTAATTTCTGTGAAACTGTGTAACCTCATGCGACAAAGTCATCACCTCTGAGATATAGAAATATAAATCAGTTTAATTTAGGATTGCAACAAATTTTACTGACCTAGGCGCAGGTTTGAAGGCCTGACCAACGTCTAAACCTATCTGCTTTTTAGTTGAAAGCTAACTGTATGAGATAGTTTCTGATGCTCATTTCGAATTTATTAATAACAGAAGCCACAACACAACTTCTATGTACTTCTTAAAGATCAGAGGTCACTCACCCAAATTAACCCATGCTAACGTTTTGTTTTTAGGAACATACCGCCTAGCATAATCATTGAAGCTCATTCAAATGCAAAAACCAAACAATCTTGTAAGATTTTGGCCGCCACGACCTTTTAAAAGTCAAACAAGGTCACTGATTTTAAATGAGCACCAGTGACGTTTTGCTTGGAATAGGTATCAAGGTTCAAGACTGTTGCATAAGGAGATCTAGGGTCACTTTGGACACCAGTCTGGAGTTTGACCTTGTTTGACCTTATTTGACCCAAAGGTCATGACCAAGAAACCTCAAATCTTGACACAAGCGAGTTCTCACACAGGCCATCCCACCCTGGGGATTGGTGTTTCCAGCCCTCTTACTTTTGAGTTCTCAGGGGGTCGAAGTGCACCCCTCACCCGAGCGAAGGGCATTAAACCGGCCACCTCGGCGTGTGTTAAGAAAAGCTCCATTTTGAGGTATTTTGATTTTAGCGTTCAGAAATATGTTGGCTTTTTCCCTTCCCCAGTCTCTATGATTTTACTACTAGAGCTATTGGCCTATTGACGCTCCCTCGGGTAGGGGGGAACTTGACCTCTCTAAGGTTTTTTCAGAATAAGGTTCGAGCGATGCGGCGCAGCGACGCCAAACTTTATATTTCTGTACCCAATTGCGCAGTAAATCGTTTACTATAAAGGCCTCTTATGGTCACGGATCTGAAACAGATTAAAGCCAGATTATGACTGCCAGCGAAGACACTCCTTAGTGAATCTTTTCAGCTGATGCGACAAGGGAGTGTTAGACGATGTCATGACCTTCCAAATGGTTTCTGAGGTAACTAGACAATTGCAGTCATGTATAAAATAGATTCCAATAAACTTAGGTCAGGCATGAAGGTCAGATCAAAATCAAAGCCAAATAATTTTTACATGCCACGTGATTAGTCTACCCATAAATGACAGCATACACCGAATTCTACATTTAATATTAGGGCACCACAATAGGTGGGAGGCGAGTAACACATGTTCAACTTTGTCGTTTTTAGTCACTGTCATTGGAATCGTGCTCCTCGGGCCTGCAAAACTATGAATTACAATAATAATACGAAGTGATATTCTAATCTAATACCAATACCGCAAATGACATTCTACAGGCATCGGAAAGCAAAGCATCTACCTTCAAATCACCTTAAGAAACGCAAAAGTATCGATTTTGCGCGCCGGCATCGTATAAGTGCGACATCGTTTCAGTGGGTGCTTCCGACAGACAGCGACAATTAATCATGACCACAGTTACAAAAGAATGGCTTGATCACGTTCCTTGTGACCATTCACAAGCCAGCTGCGAGCCAGCATATGTCACGTTTCACAGGGCACATGTGTGCTGGTGTCCAGCAGCGCTGTCGCACCGGCATTCTCGGCTTATGGACGCTAATGATGTGGCAATGATTAATGCTCGTATTACTCTTGGTCGGCCTTTGCCAGGTCCATAAAGCATTCGCAAGGGCATTGTTCAGCATTTGTTGTGCACCTGGTCTGGCGTTTGACCTCATGGAATATCCCGGGTGAAAAGACTCCACATTGAACGAGCAGTTCATATCGATAACCCGTCAAACAAAGCTGCATTTCAAATCTGTTGCGGCAGTTTTAGTCGGGACGCCAGAGCAATTGCTTAAATTGGGTACGTTCTCAGCCCACGAAGCGTGCGGCATATATTCCGCATTGTAGCAGCAAAACAGGTTATTCATCTGACTACTGGAACATATGCCAGACACAGCACCGCGACATATCCAGACCTCCCTCTAAATCCCCGCCGTCGCGGCACCGTCCCACCGGAGCGCGCAGCACGCCTGCCTCCCACCCGTCTGTTGACGACTCGTCGGGCCTAGTTGCGCCCCAAGCGGGCGTCAGTTCAGCAGCTGTCGCGCCGCTGAGCCGCTGAGCCTGAGGGCAGTGGTCTCACCTGTGAACCGTCGAACTTCGTCCCTGTCGACGAACATGTTTAGGTTGGCGCTGGCACGAGCGGCGAGACAGAGCAGCAACAGCAGCAGCGGCAGCGGCAGCGGCAGCGCCGCCCGCCTGCCGGCCGCTCGGCGCATCCCGGAAGTGGAGACGACCACCGCTGTCTCTGAGGCGATGCTTCAGGCGGGGGGGGGGGGGGGGCTACCAGATTAACCACCTGAAACAACAGGCATCGTCAGCGAAATGACTGGACCAGCATCCGCTGTCGAAGAGAATGATGGACGGGTTGAGGCAGCGGTCGCCCCGTGAGGTCTCGTGACTTCCCCATCGCCTCGTCTGTATCAAGCGTGATTCTGCGAGAGTGGTGGTGAAATCGTTCCATTCCATTGTTTGCCTTTGCCGATTTAGACCGAAAAACTTCAGACGTTAAGCTTTTCCTGTTTATTCTTCAAACGTCTCGCCAGTAACAAAAATGGCTGTTAAAGCCGGTCCACAAATGGCGGTTTTCCCGAGGACTTCGGATCAATGACCATCATCAGGTTATTTAACTTGCTGCACCCCTAGTGGTGCGCTAACCAGTGGCAAGTCTACCTCTTAAATTGTTATTTGGTCGTCACTGGGATTGAACAAATCTTGATATAGGGTTAAGCGAGGAATGACGTGTGGTCATCAAGTGAAATCGTATAAAAATATCCAGGTATTTGAAGGCAGGAAATGTTTTTCGAAGTTTGGCATCGTCACGCATCCTGGCTATTTATGCTATTTCAGGAATTCAATATCATTTGATGCACTTGCTTGTATATACGATAGACTGAAATTCTCCCCAGCTCTTGGACTGTCGTAAATACACCTAACGTCGTAGATCACGCGACCGTCTGCCGGGCAGGATCAATACAGAGGTGGAATTAGGCTCATAAACTGTCAATTTCGTCTACAAAGTTTCCTTGCTTGCCCCCAGCGCCACGAGCGCCGTGCATGCCTGCATTCAATAGAAATTAATAACGCCGGCAATTCATGATTGGCCGGGTGATTACAGGGTGTGTCATGCCGGCGCGGTCGTTGTGCTGCGGCCGGCGGTGAGCTCGGGGCGTTTTTAGGGCCGGGCGCGGGGCGGCTCAGACGTCCGGCTCGGCCGGGGGCGTGCTCGCCTCGCTGTGATGGCAGTTAAGCGCCGTCGGACGGCCGTTTGTCACACGCGCGGCGCGTGCCCGGCCCTCTAAGCGGACAGAATCAGCCCCGGGCCACACGACAGTGGCCGGAGCTCAGAGTCCCGCCGGCCCGGCCGCCACCCACGCCCGGCTCTCACGGTGTCGGGGTGGGGGTCGCAGGGTCCAGCGCACGGCGAGCTCGTCAGTTTTGACAATGACGGCTATTGATTCTGTGGCTTTGATTGTCAGGTCCTGGTCGTTCTTAATATGCATATTTGGGTACGTCCACCAGAAGCTGTCCAGCTGTAATAGTGTGATTATCATGTCAAGTACACACACAACTGCCCGGAACACCTGCCATTTCTCTTTGAAATGACTTTCTGTGGCGGCTCTAAGCTCTGGAAGCCCGGGTAGCCCTTGCATCAACGAACCCCCACGAAACTAGCCTGTAAAAACAAGAGTAATAAGTGCAATTGCTGCACATATGCCGATTTTCGCCTGCGTGACGTCACAGCTATGCCACGTAACCGGAGTGATGTCATGCTTGCTGGGAGGGCTTTCGATTTCCTGGCGTGGATGGTTTCAATTTACGGATAGCGAATGGTGCAAACACTGAGAAATCAGCATTTGTCGCTTGCGCTCATATTCTACTGCGTGTTAGGGAAACCTACGATGTGAAACATGAATCAGTTGAGAACAATGCTTGGCCCAGCGAGCTGAACAGTACGAATGATTCGGTGGATGCTCAAAGTCTTTCAAAGTGTATACAAGCTAAAAGCTATATGAATCACTCCTGCCGCTCGAAATATTACCAACTATTTTCTTCTAGACAAGCCGTGCTATTTCCAAGGCAATTTAGTTCCTACCGGAAAGTGCGTTGTCAATTAAATTGTGGCGCACACAAAAAGAGCGGTGACAGTTGTGATCTGACCGACGAGTGCGGTCACGCCGACGTGCAATTATCTGAATATCAAGGGGTCAACGGTGGTTAGCGACGATCGCGCAAACAAGATTTAGACAATGCGCTAAGAAACGCGTCAAACTCAGAAAGGTGCGTTTCATTTGCCGATCGCATGCTTGCTTTGCTATTGGAGAGAAAAACCGGTTGTATACATTAAAGGGCAATGCAAGGTGCAAGTACAGTAACCCAAAAGATTTCAGATGGTCGAGAAGCGACCAAATTCCATTCCAAGGGACTGCATTCACTCAAGAGGGCATAAAAAGGTCATATAAATCATGGATCAATCAAAGGGCAGGGCACGATTGCACCATGCCCCTCCAGGGATTGCAGTGGAGTGTCTAAAGGTTGAGCCCTGCGGATCAATTGAAAGACATTGATCTACCAGCGATGCAAGCAGTCTTGACGAAAACCGCTAAGAGAACCTGAACTCGCTGACAAATACGACACCAGCGGCCAAAAGAGAGCCCTGGTCAAACCGGCCTACCACCGCCGTTGGTGATATTTTTCAGGCGGATGTTGGTCCGATTACACCCAACAATATGCAACATGCCACAGAGCACAACAATGGGCAAGAACCCGACCACGCTGTGGAGCCAGGAAACAACATTCAAAAAAGTTCGGCTGTCCAAACATCCTGTTCCCTGGTTTGACGGCCGATAATGCACTTCATCCATCGAAACTCAGTAGCGATTTGATAAACGTGACTACGTCATCGCAATAATAAGTTGACATATCCGATGGCGGGCCATGATGCCTGTCACAGATACTTGTGCCCCTGCACTGCCCCGACAGTCCACTTTATGGCTGCGGCTAAAACAGTACGCAAGTTCCAACTAGGAGGCCGGCACACATTGGGGAGTTTCCACTCGTGGTCGTTTGTATGTCCCATTGCGACATCAGGTACATGCATTCGCCCCGCATTTCGCCCGCGCAGCACTCATCCGTTTCACCGCTGTAGCGCCTGCAACGCGACTTAACGCGCTGAGGTTCCACACTAGAGACGCAACTTGTTTACAAAATATCAGTCCGCAACCCAGTTCGTCCCGCCTAGAAAGTGATCCAGCCCACAAAAGCCCGTTACGCTACAATAATGATCCGTCATTAATCTCCAAGAACCAATTTATTGCGTTATGCATTTTAGGATTTCACCCTACTTTTAGACCTGTGCAATACATAACATGGCTTGGCTAACACCAGCGGTGTTACTTAGAGAACAGCAATCACAGCTCCTGCACAACGGATTTATAGTGCACCAAATTAGATCTTAAACACCGTGATAGCAGTTTTACAACCGCAGCTGAGAAGGAAAAGGGTGGAAATTCAATCTACATTTCGCCAAAAGGCCCCAAAGATTCCATCCTTTGCCTACCAAAAGTTGGACCCACAACAGCCCGACAAGTCTGACCCATAACCTAGGCAAACGCCCGTGTGCTCTCGCGGGGCAGAAATTGGTGGGGTGGCGGGATGCAAGGTTGCGTCTCTAGTCCGGACCCTCGACCTGGCGTAGGACAGCAGGCAAGAATGGCCCTTATCAGCCTCGCGATTGTACGAATGGGAGATATGCCCGTGGGTCAACGCCTAGGAGGGTGTACAAAACATTTGATGGGTAAGGGCTACTTTCGAGAACATTTCTTGGGCGCAGATATTCGGTGCAATACTCTTGCATGCTGAGGCATCGCTATTGCATTTGGAAACTAAACAGATCCCTTCCGATGACCCAACACAAATTGGACAAATATATAAAAAGATCAAAAAAAAAGAAAGGTCCGCCTCATTTCAAGACCTAGGGGTCCCAGACGCCGTTATGACACAATGCTCACAAGGATGAGGTAGCGCATGCTTGCGCACGCATGAGGCAGCACGCACGGAAAGCAGCGCGTGCTGCCGACTCCCTTGCGTGAAACAGCACTGACATCTCGACAAACTTCAATTCAATCAATTCGTTACCTTTTCCGGCACGTTGTACCCAGTTAAACATTACGGAAACACGGCACCACCAGCCTTTAAACACTGACTATTTCGCCTCAGAGCACACCGCTCGTCATCGTGCCTTTTTGCTCATTATGCGAGCAAAATGAACCATCCATTAATTCCAGCTGGCAGTTATAGCAGCTTTGGGTCGTATTCTCCGTCAGAATAACTGCTGGCAAAACAGGAGCCGTCCGACACCTCCGCAGGGCCTCGCAGTTACGCGGACAATTTATGCGGCTGGCTGAAATTTAGGGTAGCAGTCAGACCCAGGCGTCTGTCCGTATCCGGGGTCAGCTCGCACATTCGGGCGGGCGGACGAGCCCCGGCACGCGCTAGCAAAGACGCAGTGCCGTCACGACACGCGCAGCAGCCCGCCCTCCGCCGGCAGAGCCGGCTCGGTGTATCAGCAACGCTCGGAGGCCGACTGTGCCCGCCGTGCGCCGGAAATCAATCTGCGGCGCAAATGTCGCGCGGCGACGAGGTGGAAGCGTATTTGTGCCCGTTGCCGTGGCAACGAGAAGTGGGGGTGTTATGAGAGCGAGAGAACGCAGATCCAGTCAGCCGGCCTGCCGGTCCGGCCAGGTGAGTGCTGCTCAGGTGAACTGCCGGTGCCGATGGTGGCAGAAGTGAGCGCCGGGTGTGTCCGGCTCGGTGGTCTACAGGCGATAGCGGCTGTGATGCGATTGCAGTGCTCAACTGTTCTTGGATTCAACAAGTCCGCGGCCCACAGGCGTCATCGTATTCCAACCTTTACTAGGCCACATGGTATGCGCCCGTCTTTCGTATCAATCGGTGATGATGAAGATCAAATATGCATCGGTTTTTGTAAGAGACTCGCTATGCTGACCATTTAGCATGTATTGCAGCATGGAGATCAGGCGCAGACAACATATAGGCTGAATGTGGGACGTTCATGACATCGTCCGTACGCGACACGCAGCACACACACACATTTAGTCCCCACTATGCTCTTACTGGGGAAGATCAGCACGAACAAAAGACGGAAGACACGCTCTAGATAAGCGAGGTTTCGAGATACACTACTTGCTATCACTGGAGACACTGAAGTACTCTAAAAAGCTGGATAATACGAGTGTTG